TCAGGGTACTGTGTAAGAAACAAGTATTTTGGATCCTTAGTTTAAATACCAGAAGGATGGTGGGACTTAACCATGCATTGGATGTCTTATACTTTTATGAGTAACAAATTGGGTTATCTGATAAAGTTGATTATTACCAAGGATTTGGTTACTGTATATCATGTGCCAGCAGCTTGATGAATACTTTCCCATGTGCACATGTGTAGATCTGCTGATCATTCACATTTATGAGGTGTTTATTTTTGTATAGCGGTTTGTACATGTGCACATGTGTATTGATATATTTTCTTTATAGTTTCTTTACATATTTTTTGATGTGTTTTTTACACTGCTAAAGCTTTATAAGTTTGATCACTATTCGGATTGTAGTCAGTGAGACACAGATAATTTAGTTAATTATTTGCGGCTGTGTCCCATTTACCTTGCACTGGGTTTGTAATTGGGGGTTTAACAGATGTAATTGTACATGTATCCCCTATATAACTCAGTGTTGAACAATGTTATTGTAACTATGACTTAGCACCAATGTTGGCGTGAAACACGTTAGTTTTTGTGCTATTTTCCCTCATGTATTTTTACCGTGGAGTATCTATCTACGTGGATTTTGAAACAACAAAGGTGATCTTAGGGATGTGCGGCCAGCTGGACTCTTTCCCTTACATCATGATTTCTGCAATGAACAGTACCAGCACCTGCTGGTGTGCAGAGGAGGCGGGTTAGATTAAAAATCAACCTTGAGTGGTGTTCACTTTTTCTTGGTTAACTAGACTAACAGGAGCTGCATATAAACTCAATTGCAATAAACAGATTCATCTACTAACATACAGCATAATGACTACTACACATGCACACCATGTTATAGAATAAACAGTCTAGTATAGCGCATGGTACATAACAGCAAGGAAACAGATATACATTTGTCACCAGTCATTAAATAGTTACATATATACATTCTTAAACTATAGGTAACAATAGTAAACTATTAACAGAGGAACAGTTGCCTAATAACCCCTGGTTTGGAATAGCAACAGGTCTTCCATGTGGCCTCCTCTCCACCGGACACAGAGGAATGTGGCTCCAGCTATACAATACCATGATCACAATGTCAACAAAGCTTTTATAGATTAATTTCATTCATAACAGCTGTGATTCTTATAGTGATGCTATGATTGGCCCACAGCTTTCACATGATACCTGAGCTAATCACAGCACCTTGTACCATGTGATATCTATGGGCTAATCATAGCACACAACTGTAATCACCTCTGTTATAAATGTAACTCATTCATGACAATTCAAGACATTGCTGTTACAGGGATCATCATGAAAAAAAAAAAAAACCCTGATCACCCTCCCCCCCTCCCCAGAGTAGTACAGTGTCACTATGGTGACACTGAACTACTCCTCTGATGACAGGATATAAAACAAGATTGTAAGAAAAAAAAAAATGTAAATAAATTAAATACTTTTTTTTTTACTACATATGTCACTAGTCAGTATTCCTGATCACCACAATACCAGTCAAATGGTGATGCTGTGCAGAACTGGTGACATAAAGTAAAAAAAAAGTTAAAAGAAAATTATTTAATTTCTTAATTTTTCAAAAAAAAGTGACAAAAAATTACAACTTCAAAAAATTTGCCATGCCTCTTACTAAATACCTTAGATTGTCTACGTTCCAAAAAGGGGTCAATATTTGTACTGTCCTGACATTTTAAAGACCTCAATAAATACATCAGGATTGATCAATTTTCAAATATATATACCATAGTTTGTAGACTTTGGAACTTTCACACGAATCAATTAATATACGCTTATTGGTATTTTCTTTACCAAAGACATGTAGCAGAATACATTTTGGCCTACATTTATTTTTATTGGAACGAGCGCACAATTGCCAGTTAAAGTAGCACAGTGCTAAGCAGTAAAAAATGGCCTGGTCATGAAGAGGGTAAAGCCTTCCACAGGTAGTTAAAGCATGCTTGTGCAAGGTCCATTATTAAAATTACCTAAATATTCAAAATAGGGAAGGGAAGCACATCAACGTCCATGAGTGTGGTGACATCACAAAGTCTCTTTCATCTTAGTTTTATTCATTTATAGTTAATGTTATGTATTTTTATTACAGGCATTTTTATACACATTAATTTGTTACATTTATGTATGTATATTATTTATTTACTTATGAATGTAAATAGTAATGTGCGTATATATTGTAATATGGAGAGCCCCGCATCACCAACCAGACATTTGTAAAAAGACATTGGACAGTTAAAACAACCAAACAAAAGCTGCTTTCTTCAGCAAAAACAATGCAAACAGCTCATAATCCTAGTATAATGAAGACAGCATAATGACTCACAGCTAATATACCAGTTCAACACTTGGGTTTAGGGTTTCTGTCTGCTTTGAGTGTACTGCAAAGGCTACAGGAGCTCTGCAAAACTGTGTCTCAGTCTTCAAATATTCTACACTACCTCACAGACATGTGCTGACTCCTTTCTTTTCCCTGTAATCAGGGCTTAAAGGATCTTTCACACCCAGGCTCTCCAATTCTCCAGATTCTGGGTCCCAAATGAGGGCTTACTAGTCCTGAGAGAATCAGTTCTCTCCTTTCCAAATATACCCCCCCAGAACCCCTCACCCTGCAACTTCTGGGTACTCAATAATGTATCTTATTGTCTCCCTTAAAGGAACCAAAAGCCAAATAGTGGGGACACATACCTCCCATCCAGAGCACACCCTGGCATCCTGTACATATACCCCCCCCACCACACATACACACACACACCTTGACACCAACGTTTCAGAGGCACTGTGTGACACCCTCTGGTGTACCTGACAGAGGACATTTTGGTGTTGTTTTTCAGGTCTGTGTATGACCATGAATTTGAACTCTTGTAATGCCAAGAGCCATATGGTTTTGGTGGCATTCATGTATTTATTCTGTCTTATCCAGGTCAGTGGGGCAAGGCCCAACACCAGCCAAAACTTCCTGCTAAGGAAAAAATAGAGCAGTGAGTCCAGAGCCCACTTAATGCATAGGCACTCTCACTCCACTGCAGTGTAATTTCTCTTGGCAGCTGACAAATTTTCTACTAAGAAAAACTATGAAGTTCTCTTTACCATTGACTTCTTGGGACATATCAGTTCCTAAGCTTTCATTGGACAATAATTCCTTAAAGAAGTCTGGAGCAACCAGTACTGGATACTGGCATAAAGCTGTTTTAAGTTCCAGAAAGGTCTCTTCAACCTTGTCATTTCACTTGACCATAACTGACTTCTCACCCTTTGTCAGGTCAGTGGAACAGAAATAGTGGCAAAGCTGGAGACAAACCAACGGTAGTACTCAATGATGCCCAGAAAGGTTCAGACCTGTTTTTTTGTAACCATGCAGGGCAAAGCCTAAAAAGGCTTTATCTTGTGCATCTGAAGTTTCACCAACTCCATACCGACAATTTACCTCAGGTACTTGGTCTCTTCTATCAAAATGGAAAACTTTTCCAGATGAATGGTAAATTCCTCTTTATTTAGAGAATCCAGCCTGAACTCGGGGAAGGTGGGACTCCTAGTCTGTTGTCAGGGATCCTGTCGCCGTGCAGTGGTGCGACAGCGACAGACCCCCTCGAGTCACGGCGGTGCGAGTGCGCAGGCGCGGAAGCATACGGCCGCGCATGTGCAGTAGCGTGGAAAACTCACGCATGCGCAGTAAGCGCACACGTCACGTCTGGCAGGCTATTTAAACCTGCTTCATAGTAAAATCACTGCCTTCTGGTCTAATACGTTCCTGCATACCTTCCTGATCCTGATACCTGTATTCTGCATTACCCGACTAAGAAAGAACTCCGCCTGCACTGACCCCGGCAACCCTGACCATTCTCTTGCCTGCTCCTCTTGCACTTATCTGCCTGCTTGTTACCAACTCGGCCTGCCTGACTCTGCTGTATTATTCTGCATGCACCTGCACCTGACCTGCATCTTGTCAGCTACCATATCCACCTACCGCTGCACCCACGGCTTTGCATCTGGCCTGCATCCGGATCACCGCCATACCTGTCAGCCACCTCATTCATGCACTGGTGCTCGGTCCCAAGACCCACACCCTGACTGCCGCCACACCCGCTTGCTGCTGCACCTACGTTCCTGCACCCGCACCTGGCTTGTGTCCGGATCTCCTGGGTTCCCAGCTACCTGCTGACAGCTGCAAGATCTACATGGCACTCCTGCCCCTCCTGGCTCTGCTCCCCTGTTCCCACTTTCAGGGGCTCCGAGCGGGAGTTGTAAGAGGACGCCCTCTCTCCACTTCAGGCTCCCCAACCAGGTACGTGACAGTACCAGAAGGCCATGTCAGAGCCTGAGAAAGGGGCTTCTCCTCTGGAAGAGATTTGCCAACACATTGCGGCACTGACCCAAGCCATCAAGGGCTTGCAAGAGGGGTACAACCGCCTGGAGGATTGTTTTCAGGCCCTATCTCCACCAGCATCCACTGCTAGCATCTCAGCTACACCCCCTCCAACTGCCACTCCAGGAGCCATGGCAAGTCCCACTGTGATGATGTTGCCTCCTGAACCTAGGGTACCTATGCCCGAGAGATTTTCTGGCGACCACCACAAATTCAGAGCCTTCTGGAATGCATGTGGGTTATATTTTGCATTGAAACCTCGCACCTTCTCGCTATAAGCAACCAAAGTGGGATTTGTGATCTCCCTTCTCCAGAGTGAGCCACAAGCATGTGCCCATCAGTTAATGGAAAAAGCACATACCAAACTGTCTTCCCTAGAAAGCTTCTTTGAAGCTATGGCGCAACTGTACGATGACCCCCAACGATCTGCATCTGCAGAAACTGCGCTCCACTCTCTCCAGCAAGGTCATAGGGCAGCTGAGGACTATGTAACCGAGTTCAGGCGCTGGAGCGCTGATACCAGTTGGAATGATGCTGCCCTACGTTATCAATTTTGCTTGGGTCTGGCCGAATCCCTTAAAGACGAGCTAGCTCGGGTTGGAGTACCGAATACCTTGAAGGAACTTATTAAGCTGACTATTCAGATTGACCGCCGACTCAGGGAACGAAGGCTGGAGAGATCCACAGGTCAAGCTCGCCACACATGGATGCTGCCCAGGGTACCACCTCCAACAAGTATGGCATCAACCAGTTCTGCCACATCCAGTTCTGAAGGGTGGACAAAGTACAGGAGATGGACCAGAGACTGCGGACACAGTACAGGAGATGACCAGAGACTGCGGACATAGTACAGGAGATGGACCAGAGACTGTGGACACAGTACAGGAGATGACCAGAGACTGCGGACAGTACAGGAGATGACCAGAGACTGCGGACAGTACAGGGGATGACCAGAGACTGCGGACACAGTACAGGAGATATCCACGGAAGGCTTCAAGATGGATTCTCAGAAAGTTTCTGCTATACTAGAATGGCCTGCACCAGCTGATAAGAAAGGAGTTCAGCATTTCATAGGCTTTGCCAATTTTTATAGAAAATTTATTAAAGGGTTCTCGGCCATCATTACACCGATTACGCAACTGACCAAACAGGGAGTCTGATTCCATTGGACACACCGGAAGCTCAGGGTGCTTTTGAAATGTTAAAGAGACTCTTTACATCAGAATCCATACTAAGCCATCTAGACCCAGTACTACCCTTTGTGGTTGAGGTAGATGCTTCAGAAAGTGCTGTTGGGGCCGTCCCTCTCACAAAGTCTAAAACGTTTGCTTCACCCTGTTGCCTTCTTTTCCAGGAAATTATCCCAGGCAGAAAGAAACTACGATGTAAGAGATTGGGAATTATTGGCCATCAAATCTGTCTTGGAAGAATGGAGATACCTGTTGGAAGGCGCGGCACATCCCATCCTAATCTACACGGATAGCAAAAATCTGGAATATCTAAAGACGGCAAGACGTCTAAAACCTCGACAAGCCAGGTGGGCGCTCTTCTTTTTCAGATTCAGCTTTCACATTACCTACCGACCAGGCTCCAAGAATGTCAAACCAGATGCCCTATCAAGAATGTTTGACGATCTGAGGGATCCACCCAGCCCGGGTACACTGCTCTCAGCAGGTAACTTCTGCCTCTTGCAACCTGATCTTCTTTTGCAGATCCAGCAGGCATCGGTTGGGGCTCCTTCTCTTCCAGGAGTAACCCGGTCCTCCAGAGAAGGATTACTATGGTAAGGGGACTGAATTTTTGCACCTGAAGCTACCTGACTGTCAATTTTAAGGTTATGCCATGGTCATCCACTGGCAGGACATTTCGGGATCCACAAGACCCTAGACTTAGTACAGCGTCTGGTCTGGTGGCCTGAATGGGAGAAGGATTGCAAGGCCTGCGTAAGCTCCTGTCCCACATGCATCCGGAATAAGGGCAATAAGAGCAAGGCCTGGGGATTACTGAGGCCTCTACCAGTACCTGACCGTCCCTGGAAGATGATATCGATGGATTTCATCATAGAGCTACCTCCATCAGAAGGATATTCAGCCATATGTGTTATAGTGGATCGATTTTCCAAAATGGCACACTTCATTGCCTTGAAAGGAGTACCCTCTGCAGCGGAAATAGCCCAAGTCTTCATTAAGGAAGTGGTGAGACTCCATGGTGTTCCAGGAAACATTGATTCAGATCGTGGGGTACAGTTCACCTCAAAATTTTGGAGAGCACTTTGTGAGAAATTGAGAGTGGGACTCTCGCTCTCTTCTGCCTATCACCCCCAGACTAATGGCCAGACAGAGAGAACCAACCAAACCTTGGAGCAATATATTAGTTGTTTTACATCCTTCTCTCAAGATGACTGGGTAGCACTCTTACCCTTGGTGGAATTTGCCTATAATAACTCAAGACACTCGGCCACAAGACAATCCCCCTTCTATTCGAACTATGGATATTACCCTGCATCTATTTCTAATTCACTACCCAAATCAGCGATCCCAGCAGTCCAGGATATCTCTGAATTCTTACAGTAAAATAACAAAATACTGCAGGAAACAATATCAAAGGCTCAACTGGATAATAAGAAGTTCTTTGACAGGAAAAGGAAAGGAGAACTGGTCCTGGAACTGGGACAAGAAGTATGGCTGTCAACAGCCAATCTGAGATTAACTTGTCCTTCAAAGAAGTTAGGCCCAAAATTCGTGGGTCCTTTTCCCGTAAAGAGGAGAATCAATGACGTAGCATATGAGCTCATATTACCAGGTTCCCTAAAGATTCATCTTGTATTTCATGTGTCACTACTCAAGACTGAACCCTCTAACCCATTCCCAAGTCGGGAAGTGGGGCCACCTGAACCAGTAATCGTCGAAGAAGAAGAATACGAAACCACTGTTAACTGCAGGAAGAGGAGGAACCAACTCCAAAATCTGAGTATAATGGAAAGGGTATGGTCCTGAAGATAATTCTTTGGAGCCAGAGTCTAACATGCATGCCAAAGAGTTAATCAAGGCATTTAAACACAGGCATCCAGAGAAGTTGGCCCAGTTGGGCATCCGGAGGCTGTCCTTAGGGAGGGGGCACTGTCAGGGATCCTGTCGCCGTGCAGCAGTGCGTCAGCGTCAGATCCCCTTGAGTCACGGAGGTGCGAGTGCGCAGGCACGGGAGCATGCGGCCGTGCATGCGTAGAAGCACGGAAAACTTGCGCATGCGCAGTAAGCGCACACGTCTGGCGGGCTATTTAAACCTGCTTCATAGTAAAATCACTGCCTTCTGGTCTAATACGTTCCTGCATACCTTCCTGATACCTGTATTCTGCATTACCCGACTAAGAAAGAATTCCGCCTGCACTGACCCAGGCTATCCCTGACCATTCTCTTGCCTGCTCCTCTTGTACTTATCTGCCCGCTTGTTACTAACTCGGCCTGCCTGACTCTGCTGTATTATTCTGCCTGCACCTGACCTGCATCTTGTCAGCTACCATATCCACCAACCGCTGCACCCACGGCTTTGCATCTGGCCTGCATCTGGATCACCGCCATACCTGTCAGCCACCGCATCCACGCACTGGTGCTCGGTCCCAAGACCCGCACCCTGACTGCCGCCACACCTGCTTGCTGCTGCACCTACATTCCTGCACCCGCACCTGGCTTGTGTCCGGATCTCCTGGGTTCCCAGCTACCTGCTGACAGCTGCAAGATCTACATGGCACTCCTGCCCCTCCTGGCTCTGCTCCCCTGTTCCCACTTTCAGGGGCTCCGAGCGTGAGTTGAAAGAGGACGCCCTCTCTCCACTTCAGGCTCCCCAACCAGGTACGTGACATCTGTGCTAAAGATAACAATGTCATCTAAATACACCCAAATTTATTTATGATGAGGACTTAATGTTTTGCCCCCGTTAATATGAAAAGTGGCTGGGGCAGAATGCAAACCAAACGGTATTCTTACATACTGGAAAAGACCCCCTGGAGTGGAAATTGAGGTATTTTCTCTGGCTTCTTTAGTTAAAGGTATCTGTCAGTAGCCATTGGTGTGGACTGTGGTGCTAATATCCCAGGCTGGTCTCAACCCCTCTATTAGCTCATGTTCTAGGTGAATTGGATATGCATCACACTTTTAATACACCATATGGCTTCCTGAAATCATTACAAAACCACGGGGTTCTATTGGCTTTGGTACCAACACAATTATGCTTAACCACCCACTATGCAACTCTTTAATGATATCAACTTCAAGCATTTCACAAACATCTTCCAATACTACTTTCCTGTGTACCTCTGGAATACAATAGTGTTTTACTCGAACATTATATTAGGTTTTATTATAATGTCATGCTCAATTACTCTAGTAAGGCCTGAGTTTGTAGCTTGGACAGGTTGGTGGCAAAGAAGGACTAGGTCAACCCCTTAGAGGGGGCTCTGATTTGACCTTAGGCGGAGCAGCTACCTGTTCCTGGTCTTTCCTGAGTTTTAGTAAGTTCACCTCGTGGATTTGATAAGACTTTTACCACCCTGGTTGATGTGCTTTAGAATTTATTTTACTAATCTTTTCAACCACATCTAATGGCCCCTCCTGCCCAGGAACTCTCTCTCCATTGTGGGTATTAGTACAGCCACCTAGTCCCCAACCTGGCACTGTCTAAGCTTGGCAGACTGATTTTACACTCTTTAACAGAGGTATCGCCTTAGAATTTCTCTCTCTCATTTGGGTTATATACTCTACTACCATTTAAATGTATGTGGAAAAGATTCACTTTCCCAGTCAAGTAACCCATGAGATATCCATCCATACACCAACTCAAACAGGGAAAACCTGGTGGATGCTTGAAGTACCTCTCAGGTGGCAAACATGAGCACTGGGAGTAAGCAGTCCAAATATTTTCCATCTTTCTACACCACCCTCCTGAACATTGATTTTATGGCCTAATTGAACTAGCCCGTACATCTGTGAGTGATAGACTGAGGTACACAACTGTTTAATCTGAAGCAATTTGCATAGGTCTGTCATAATAAATGGTGTGCCTTGGTCCATCGAAATCTCTTTAGGAAAAACAGTCATTAAGAACATGTTAAACAGCACTTGAATAATCACTTTGTAGGAGATTTTATTCAGAGGGACTGCCTCCAGATACCTTGTTGCATAATCGATTACCACCAGGATGTATTGGTGTCATTTTATCAGAGGTCCCACCAGATCCATCACAATATGCTCAAAAGGAACCTCAATAATAGCCAGAGGCAGCAGGGGTTTTCTAAAATGTGACACTGGATATCTTCTCACCTCATCAATAACTCCAGGCCAGCAGAACTGCTCTGTTATCAATGCATCTGTTTTCTCAGCTCCCAGGAAACCTCCCAATGAGTCTTTGTGAGCCAAATTGAGTCTCACTCATCTAAAAGGCTGGGGACCAATAATTGGTTGACCACCTTACCCCATATGTTGGTGACTCAGTATAGCAGATCACTATTGACCACAAAGTATGGAAACCTTTGTTCGGCCTCAGGCACTTGTGATACTCTATTAACCACTGTAACTTGTTCTCTGCCAAATGAACCCTGTGACACTTCCAGGCCAGGATGAACAGAATTAGTGGAACCTTTTCCCTCATCCTCCTCAGACATAGCCTGTAGTGGGAATGTTTCCTCTATGTTTTGCCCAACCATGACCTGCATAACAGGAGATTTCCCCCTCAGGGGTCTCCTTAGCTTGTAGACTGTCTGCTACTGGCACAATCTGATCAGCACTTCTTAAGGTCACATTTTCCAACACTTCAAAGGGAGTAGATAGGTCACACTGTCAGGGCAGTCCTCAGCTGACATAGTTTTACAGTTCAGCAAAGAGAGAAACAGTCCTGTCCAACTATAATGTCATGTATGAGGTTTTGAACCATTCTCGCCTCCTGGGTAACCATGCCACTAGCAGTAGTGATTGTTCCTGACACCCACAGGTATCAATGAATTTGCCCATGTATACAGCACATACCACCCTCAGGGTTTTGTTACGGGGCCCACTTTATATACATCACTTGT